ATTGCGATGCGCATATGCTGGGGCACAGTGCAGAACAGTACTTGATCAGTTCATTTGATAGGTGAGAAATTATTTGCGAGGCGGAGCTTGTTCTCATGCCTGCGTTTCGAGATCATCTCAGATCGCTCGTTGAGCAACGGATTGATTACATGATTCTTAGATAAACCTTGTTTTGTTGAAAACATGTTGTTGGTTGACAGCATGTTACAAGGCGGAGGACCACTGTGTGAAATAGTGCCCCTTACCACAACTGGGGGAACCATCCACGGCTGGCAGAGCCCCGGTCTTGCGACCATTTGAACCGTATGGGTGTTAGCCCTGGTTCTGACCCTCATTATACTACATGACTTGTATCACTGTACTAGGGAGTTATTTGAGTCTTCTTGTTTTTTTTTGTTTTTGGTTATTGTACTGCCAGTCGGGTATTCTTCGCTCGTTCTTGGATGTCTTCTTGAATCATCTTGATACTCAGTCCTTTTAAACGTTGTAGCGTTTGTTCTGAATTGTTCTTGACAGTACAATAACAAAACAACAAAAAAACAAGAAGACTCAAACAACTCCCTAGTCTAATGAGGGTCAGAACCAGGGCTAACACCCATACGGTTCAAATGGTCGCAAGACCGGGGCTCTTTGGGGCTAGAACCAGAACCTTGCTCTTGCGTTGACCGCGGTATTTTGTCGACCAGTATGACTTCTGTCGCGGGCATAACTGCCGAGATCACGAAGGCAGCTGGGCTTAAAAATGCAGATAGGTGTAAGGCGGACGTCTCGCTGGAGACTTGTTGTGGTGAGGCAAGAGCAGGGTGCACCTATTCGAAAGGGCTGACTGGTAGCATATGCACAGAAAGCAGTGAGAGCAACATTTGCAGAGATATCACTTGGCTGGCGTAATACATGTACATGTATACATGTATATGTCCTTCCACCTGTCCCGCTTGGCCATTTCAGATACAGAGCACTGACCAGTAACAGCATATAAATCTGCATTCGAGATGACATCTGGGTAGGTAATTCCAAGGGTACACCCTGTACACCGCAGCTGTTTCCTATGCTGCCTTCGTGATCTCGGCAGTTATGCCCGCGACAGAAAACAATGGAGTAACATCTGCTCAGCCATTTAGTCTAGTACTGCTCTTCTTAAATTTGACCTTTATAACAAGACTCTCTTTTTCTTTTTTCTCTCGTCTTCCCACTTTCACACACGCACATGCTCACAGTCAATTCTGCCATCGTGAGTCCCATTCGGGACGGATACGAGAATAGTATGGCTTCGTCTTGGGAGTGAGACATGGGGAAGTTGCCATACAGAGGTGCGTGCAGGTGTCGGATACATTTGCCGCTTTGGCATTTAGTATACTTTACATCGATATCAAACCGGCAGTGCTGTCCAATATTATGATTCGATGGCTTCAGAAAAAGTGGAGAAGACAGCCAATGGACTGTGGGATGAGAACGAGAAAATGATCAGTCGAATTGCAAGTGCTAGTAGGGGGGAGGGGGGGGGGGGGAAGAGACAGTATGATGGCTTATTGGATCGCGAGTGCCTACTACTTAGAAAACTTACTGGATCAACATATTCAAGTAATAACTTTTGTGGACTAGCAAAGGACGTAACTTATGATAATAAACGCACTGAAAATCATATCAAGTCGCATGATGCTACCGTGGTATTGCACTATTGGGTCTGGTCGCACAGTTTCAAAAACAACACTTCTTGCATGGGAGACAGACATTGTAGTGGATGCAGCAGGCGAAGCCACAGGAGCTACAGGCTAGTACAGCCTGTACAGCCTGTAGGCTGTACTGGCTGAGAAAGCGTGAGAGGAAGCCGTGGCTGAGAACATCCGGATAAACAGACATTTGCAGCAGACCAAATGACCACCACCCGTAGCACCTGTGGCCTATTCTGGGAACACTGACTGAGTGAGTCTGCAGCACATGACGGAGTGCCAGTGGGCCTTGAACTGCATACATGTACATGACTGTACTACTTAGTAACTACTAGTAATACTAATGCTCCTGAGCGCCTCATGATTGTACAATGTAGTTCTAGCGTGTGTCCGCACGACAAACGAATACAACTGGAATCAATACCTCAACGATTGGACCTACAAAACTTAAAATCAGCCCCAGATAAGCATCTGCATGACCGTATTGATGTACATGTACACGTGTATTGCATATTGGCTTTGCAGGATTGCTGCCATTGTAGAAGACACATCACGGGCCACAGGGGAAAACCGGAGCGTGGCTACAATAGTGCACCTTTCAGATACTACAATCATGTACAAGGGCATTGCCCAAACAGTGTTCTATGCCCCTGCTGAGCCTGAGGTGGAGCTTGTTTGTAATGTTAATTAGTGGGCCGGAAAATGGCTTCCCGGCAACATTTAGCCAGGAAAGCACGATCATCGCGGCAAAGTAAGGTTTACACGTCCCGGTTGGGTCAGAGCAGGTTCGCATTGACTGTTGATCAAATCCTCCAGTCGTATTACTGATATGGGGAAGACTGTACGTTGTTGGTGCTGGAACTGGAAGCTATAGTGCTAGAGTGCTAGACGGTCCGGTCACATCAACACCATGCATGCTACAAAAAGCATTGGATCCCTGAATTCAGCAACATTTCAGTAAGTTCAAGGGAGCGACAGTAGATGCGCCGAATCATGCGGCGGCAAGCTGAGATGGCAAGGAAATGCAGTGGGGGTTCATCAACCCCAATACCACCCACTACTAACCGCTGGCATCCAGTGTCATCCACTTCCATCTAGCCCTTGGTGGATACATACCCGTAGAAAACTCATAAAACAGAATTTGGTGCTTTCTGATATATTTCATGCATGTTTGCCATGTGGAGAAGGAAATGGAGCAGAAATCGGTGAAGTGCCTGCCATATATAAGGTTCGTGTGGTTCTGCCAATTTCACTGCTTGTCGAGCAGAATCTGCCAGTTTTTAGAATATTATCCAACAAGAGCTACGTCCCTCTCATCGATCCATTCCCTTGTTCCTCTGGCTGGGTTCATGAGACATCTGAACAATTTCTGCAATAAACCTTCTGAAGCCACAACTTTTAGTGGTCGCAGATACATGTAGCAGAAACGGACAACCACACACTTCGGGCCGTCACCAGTGGTGTAATGGTGGGTCTGAGGAAGTTTGAAGATAGCACCAGTAACATTTTATAATAATACTTCGAACTTAGAAGTTGCGACGTCGGCGGTAATAGTCATGAAGTCGATTGTTCCAACTAGGAACACACCTCGTGTGCTCCGGATGGCAGTCGTGAGTCAGTTAGGCATGGGCGGGTAATGCTAGTTATTTGCTGCGATAATGCTAAAGGCAATGCTCATAATATGAGGATATAATGCCACACTACTACATAATGCCAGTTTGAAAGTTGGAAAAGTCTATTTAAGAAGGCCGTCTTGGATCAAGGCCAAAGCGTAGAAGAAAAAAACTTTAACAGCAGTGAGCATGTTGTCTGAAACAATCCAATGAGAAGGTTGATTTGCAACGTCAAGTCTCCGGACGAAGCCGGACGGGTTCAGATGCACGATTTTCGGAACTGGAGCTAGCCAGCTTCATGCATGACACCGTTGTCGACCGGCAATCATGCTTGCAATGCCTGCGAAATGGTGTTATAATGCCAGCATTATGCGACCTGGAAAAAAGGGACTATAATGCCAGCCATAATGCTAGCATTACCCGCCCATGCCTAGAGTCAGTCAAGTGCATGCTGTCCAACCGTCCTGCTTTCAGCAGGACAATCCTGCTTTGGACCAAAACATTTGTGTACATTTACATGGGAGACAATTGCCTTGGTATACATTTTCTATAGGTGTCCTGCTTTGGAAAGGTGGCAAGGTTGGACAGTCTGCAAGTGTCAAGTTCGGCAAGAAGCGTGTGTTCCTAGTTGGAACAATCAACTTCATGAATACTTCGAAGTAATACAAATAATAATAATACAGCATCGCTGGCTAGAGTCCCTGGACCTGGTGGTGACAACACCGTGACAGTCATTTTGTTGCTTCAGACTTTTCCCCTTTGTGTCTTTCCCTCAAAGTCAAACCAGTGAAAATAATATTAATACAGCAAGCATAGTCCATAGTCCTTAGTCCTTACACGGAAGATGGGACGGGCCCATTCTTGCCATGTGGCACAAACCCCACCACACTACTGTACTCTTGCAATTCTAATATTCTACTTGGTGGTAAGGGCACTGCTGGTACGGTCAAGGAGGCCCCTTTCCTCCCCCCCCCCCCCCCCCCCCCCCCCCGATCCTTCCCTGCTCTGGTAGACTTGTACTGTTGTACTCTACCATTTCCTTGATGCCTGCTAGTGACAGTGCCAGGTAGTGGTATGACCTCTACCGACCCAGGTCATGCAGCAGCAGGGACTTGGCTCCATCGACCATGTCCATGCCATGGTAGCTCTACTATTGCCAGTATTATTATTGGTAGACAGACCATCGGATTCAATGGTACTGCCGCAGGTCGCAGTAGATCTACTCGCATGATCGGGGAGTCGTGAAACTGAAAGGGCTTTCAAGTCTCCCCTGCCCCTGGCCTGTACTGGGCCAGGTTCTCAACTTCTCAACGACGTCGTTCACCATGCCTGGCATTATGACATCGAAACAGATACATACTTCTTCACGTGATTGGCATCGCACGTGTGCGTGCGTGCGTGCATAAATTGCATCCATTTGTAGCTAGCTCGGCGGGTACCGGGTCGGACATCTCCTTCGCAACGGTCCAGCTCTGCACTGTCACTGTCACTGACTGTGTCTGTCAGCATGCCTTTGAGTCGGCTTGATCTTGACTGGGGATTTCGAGTGCGCATTTGGATCATACAACGCAAACACGCAAGCATCCACGGCCACGTACAAAGCGCGTAGTCTCACAAACCGGTCGGAGACAGACTGTGTGCGTACAGTGTGTGTAGCACTGCACTGGGATGGGATGGACTTGATGATCGGTTAGATCGGGATGCGTTTGATGCGCAATATGCCCGAGATCTTGTAATTTTTGTGTGTTTTTAGTATCACTGCTTGCGCCTTTCTTGTTGGGCAGTTCATATCGCCTCGTTTCGTGGAGAAGCACAAAGGCCATCGGAAGTCCTCCATCTGAGAACGACTTCCTTCTGATGTATCTCGCGGCCCTGGCGTGTCGTGAGATAATTTCTCCGCCATCATAGCGAGCCAGTTATGAGCTGTTGTATCAACTACTCTTAGCGCGTTTACTGAAACAGGAATACTGCCTCGGTTATTCGGAAAGCCCCCGAAAGCTGCCGCTAAGCCAAAGGCGGAGGCAGTGGATGCTGTAGACGGGGGTAAGTAGCGAATTGTGCAGTGCTTGTCCACGATTGCTGCGCAGAGTGTGTCCCTGGCGAGCGATTCGCGGTGTCTGACGCTGCGGGACAAAATACTGATGTGTGCGGGTGTCTTCATGGCTGTGCAAAATGTGCAAGAAAACGTTAATTTTATCCGCACACCACCTGCTTGACCAATGCAGGGTTGAGATGCCCGCGTGGGGCAATTTGCCTCACGTGTTGGCTAACGGTCGTTCTACGCCTTTCCTTTCCTTCTCAGGGGCATCCAATCAAGCCATGGCAGCTACAAATGAGCCAGCTGAATCTATCCAGCTTTGCTTCTCTCAAGTGAAAGGATCACCGGAAGACGATGTTGTGACCGATGGTAAGCAAGTGGAATAGTCTATTGGATGCCTTGCCCACGACGTGTATCGTCATAGGATACGCGCAGACTCGTAAACACATACTGTGGTCCACCCTGGTATCATTATCTGATGGCCTAGCCGTCAACGATGGGTGTTGCTACGCTTGCTCCACCAAGATGACGGAAAATCGGAGGACCCAGAGATTGAGTGTCTTTGGGTGAATGCTGTAGCGTATCCGACTCGACATGTGTACTGAACGAGTTCTAATGTGCTGTGGATTGCTGCATTGTGCATTATAACATTATAAGTAAAACACAACACGAAATCGGATGTGATGTGTGAAAGTAAGCTTCATTCAATTTCAAGGAATGATTAATTAATCCCCTTACCCTGACGAGGTGTCAGTGACACTACCCCCCCCCCCCCCCCCCCTCTCTCCCTCTCTCTCTCTCTCTCTCTCTCTCTAAAGGAAAGGCGTGCCTACTGAATTCCTTACGGTATTTACAAACGTATGAAGATTTACTGCCATTCCACGTGCAAGCAGTAGCACTTACGCACACCTCTGGGAATGTGAATTCCGCAACCACCCGGGCCTTGTCCTGGTGGAACCGCGTTCGACTAGTAGACGACTACCAAAAAGAAATAAGTTATTTGAGAGGATGATTGCATTTCAGAAGCAAAGCATTTCTCTACGTACTCTGTTCTGTGAATAGTAAGTTCTGTGTCCTCTCCTGGGTGTGTATAGTCCTACGTCGGTTATCCACCCCCCCCCCCCCCCCAACCGTCGATCGAATGGACCACCGGCTTTGGATAGAATAGCATGATGTCATTGATACAGTACGGATGACTCACTTGATCATATCGCACACAGTGGATGTGCATGTTTGCGCATGCACGTGCGTAATCAAGTAAATCACCATCCGAATACTCACTTATCCCCATCAGCCGGATGTAGCGTGTTAGGCGTAAAGTACCCGGACAACCTGCTTGCTATTGCACCGGGCCGTGATATTGTTTCGTAGTGCTAGCCTCACTGATGAACACGAGACAGAAAACTTAGTATACAATTGACTTGTGTGGGGTAATGTTGTAGTGCTCAACTTCACGAAATCGAAGAACTGTGTTGATCTGGAAAAACTAATTGGGAAGCGGAGGACACCGTCGATGCTGTAGTATCCAACAGTCCGGTTTCCCCAGTACTGTGAACCACTGATGGTGAATACAGTTGTGTTCATAACTGGCGCATGTACACATGAACCCGCGTGTTTATGCGTATTTTTCTGGCTCTGGGACGTCATGCGTACGGCAATGCACTGAAATAGAAATTCCAACAATTTACGTGTACTTTTCAGCGCCTTCCATGTGCGTACTTGTGTACATGCCAGTCAGTGTGACTAGCAGGATCAGAAATTTATACTCGGTGGCGTCGCACGACCTAAAAAACGACACAACTTACTGTTTTCTGTAAAAGCCTGAACGCGAATTTGGGTATGCATGGACTGCAAACATGCCGCATACACGCGCCAGTTATGAACACAGCGTAGGTGTGCGGCTGGTAACCTCTGATGGTACAATTGACTAAGGGCGCGTTTGAATTGTCTTCATCGACTGTTCTAACAAATTTTATAAAGAGATTAGTTGAAGTGTCCCATTAGAACGGTTTCTATCATTTTAGAGTTTTTCAGTGGAATTGTCATGGCGATGATGACGTCCGATCAGATCGACCATCTCCACGTACTACTTGACGTAGCTATTCCAAACTCTTCGAAACTAATCCACCTTCCCATCGGATGAGTTTCGAGGAGTTTCGAGGAGCTTCGTTTTTCTGAAGAGGCCAATAAGGCCACCTCTTCAGGAAAACGAAGCTCCTCGAAAAAGTCAAAGAGTGACAATTCGAACGCGCCCTTAGTGTCCACGCATCTACTAGGATGGTTTGTATCAGAAACATGTACCTACACAATGTACACGCTGTGTCATCAGGTGCAATACGTTTGAGTGTATGTTGGCTGCAAGCTATTGTACCGTTTGTCTATAATACTGCAGTCCGTGTCAGCACTTCACAATATATGTATGTCTACTAGTAGATGTGTGTCGGGCTGCAAAAGAAGGTGGGACTGTGTGTTCTTTGTACTACAGTCCATTCAGAAAATGATGAGCGCTGGCTCTGGAGAGCTCCTGTGTTTGGTGATTTTGCCAGTGCCGCGAGATTCGAAATTTGAAAAAGGGTCCAAAAAAGGTACCTCAACTGGAGTTTGAACCGCAAATGTACTGTTCTGCAAGTGGAGTGCATGGGTTTGATTTTCATGGTTTTCCCCAATTCAGTGCTTTGGGGGCAAAACCTGGCCGAAATCCTATTCTTGTTATGGCTTGCTCTTTGGAGAAATAGACTTCAAAAACACAATTGGAAAACCATTCCATGGGGGATTGCCAAAAAAATTGTGACAAAAACTCAAAATTTGACCCATTTATGGCCAAAACGGCTAGGATATCATCCTTTTCTGAATGGACTGTAGTACATGTACAGTGCTGCTCAATGAAATCCAGTCGCGTGAGTCAAGTTTGCGCTGTGCACCTTTTCACAGCCCAGTGTTTGCAGGTCTAGGGCTGCGCAACGCCCGGCGCGTACTTGAGAAACTCGACTGGATTTCATTGATCAGTACTGTATGTGCACACGTACGTGGAATGCTTATCTTGGCCTGAGTTGGTGTGTGTCCGAGATTGGCTGCTTGTTTGGTATGTTGTGCGACTTTTGTGTCTATTCATCCCGTGTTTGTTCATAATTTGTAATTGATAGTGTGCACCCAAAGATAATGTGTCAACACTAGGTGGCTCCACTTGTTTCTGAAGTTTGTATCTTTGCAGTGTGCACAGCCAATTGCCTCAAGTGTGTTGTCCGTTAACCCCTATGACCCTATGACGTGACCTGTAACGATGTGTGAAAACTGGGCAGGATAGATATTTAAAATTGGTGTGTTTGTGTACGTGAAACCGGAACCATATGGTGGTAAATAGTAAATACACACCTGGCAATATGGCGGTAAATACACGCCGGCCCACACACGCTCTCTAAGTTGCAAAGTTCCTCTGGCACACAGCTCTCCTTCTCATCACCACCACCACCACCATCAGCATCAGTTCGCGCATGGAGTCTTCAGTTTCATTCTTCGAAACCGGAACCAAGTAAAAGTATTTACGAAGTCTGCCAGTAGCTGTAGTGCAAAAGAGGACACAATCAAGCGTAGTGGTCCTGGACGCCCTTCTCGGACTACACTTACAAATCAGGATGATGACGACATTGGCACCAGTGATGTTGACCATACCAGGGATCTAGCCAAAGGGAGGGGGGGGGGGGAGGGAGTTGGAGGTACACCACACTAAGATAGCATACCACCCTACTCATTTTTTAGATGTGTTTTTCAGCTCACACAGCAAAATGCAGCCACAAATCGATCCTTCCGGGAGCTCTGCATATCTGTACGTTGCAATTACAAGGCAATAGTGGAACATGAAATAAATGGGTGAACTGTTTGTTTCCCCGACTCCCCCCTCCCCTCTACAATCTTTCCTGGCTAGAATCCTGCATACCCCTAGTTCAAGTACAAGCTCTGGTGTCAGCATCAAGGATGATATGTTTGAAACTATATGTGCGCCCCTGCATGGTGGTAAGCTTTGCCGGCTTGTTCTGACCCCGTGGGAGAGCGATGTGCGTCATTGTGCTATCTTTGACTGTTCTTTCCCCCTTTTTTGCGTGGTCTACTTTGCACAAGACACTCGGTAGGTGTGCTGGATTGTGGTGTGCAATAAATCCATGGCTTCACACTATTCTCCATGATTGCATCTCTTCTATCATATTTCAAGCCGACAGGAATGCATGTCGCGGTAAAAGTAGATCAACAGTCCAGGGTAGACCTGAGCTTTCAGCAACTGTACCTTTGAACAAAGAACATCGTGATTCAAAGCCAGTGAAAATTTCCAATCTGGAAAACCGTGTAGCGCCATCACATGCGAGCATGAAATCAACAGTTTGAGTATCCATGTGCGATTGAAGATACTCCCTTGCATGCTGCTGCGTATAGCACCCATGTATAGTCACCGAACGTTGCAACATGAAGAAGTGGCTGCCTAGGGGCTAGGGCTGGTTTGACTGTTTCTGTACTACACTCTAGAATACTAATAATGGGGTAAGCAGCAGCATTCGGCCCTGTACAGATTTTCTTCAACCACCACACCATAACTGCGCTTTCCAGCCGACCTCGACACATTGCCACAGCACACCGCCAGCAAAGCGACACATGCCTTGGTACTGAATTCCTTCATACAGCTGTTTTGAGTATAAAACTCTCGGTTGGAGGTCGACTGGAGAACACAGTTCTGGTGTGGCGGTTGAAGAAAAACTTTAGAATACTACATGTAGTAATCATGAAGCAAGGGCAATTCACCTGCCAATGGACACTGGCATCATGTTGTTGCTTGTCCCTTCTGTCCACAGCAGCATGGTGACCATCACGGCTGTGGTCGTGTACGTATGGCTTTGAGTCCGCCCTTGACTGCTCTAGTTCTTGTGTGGCGTGACTGTTTTGTATTTGCTGCATAATCGGCTCAAGTTGTTTGTGTCACTGTCCTTTGTGTTGTGCGGGTTGGTCGTCATTGTACTATTGTTAGTCGTCATTGTGTTGTAGTTGGTCGTCATTGTGTTGTTCGGCAGTACGATTTCCTCTTTCTAGCTGCTCTTCTTCTGCAGCTTCTCCCAGGCTCTTAGTTTCTTCTGTATGATTCTCAGAACACAGAACACAGGCTGTATGTTGTGTTCGCGTGACTGTAACCAGAAATGGGCAAGTTATGTGTGAAGACTGCGCCTAGTACATCTAGTAGTTACGAGGAGCAGGATGATGAGAGTGAGGATGATGAGGATGATTTTGAAGACGACGACAACACTGAAGAAGACAAGAAGAGAAAGGAGGTGATAATGGCACTGGCAAAGAAAATGATGGGGAGAATGAAGGAAGAGGAGAAGGATGTGGATGATGATGAGGATGATGATGATGAGGAAGAGGAGGAAGAAGAGGAGAAGGAGGAACGCAGTGAGAAGAACCGTAAGTGACGTCACACATCGGGGTTTGTCTGTGTCGGTGTCTGAGTGCCACGGTTTTGCTGCTCTATGTTCTATACGGTGTGCGTGCTGATGCTTGTCGTGTATGTTGTTTGCATCTGTGTTGTGTTGTAGATGTACTGGTGCCTGCAAATAGCCCTGCCAGTTCATGTCCACTGTAGTACACCTGTAACGCGTACTTGCCACGACCGCGCTGCGACACTTGTTCATGTACATGTTTAGTGTACGGATTGTAATATCGTGTTTTCGTGTCTGCGTGTTGTACTGTTGATTGTGGCATCGGTGCTACTGTCCAGCTTGTACATGGCTGCTCAGACTAGGATTGATAGTCGTATATGTGTACAGTCGTGTACCTTTGAAAAACGGGAGTGTAAAAAAAGTAAAGTTTACACATCCGCTTTACCACCGGATTACGATTGTGTTGAAAGGAGTATGGTACATTGTAATTTTATGGAGGTGGGTTGTGTGTTGTGTGCTATGGGAACGTGGTGCTAGTATGCTATGGGAATATGCCAATGTTTTTTTCTATGGGATCCCATAAGATGTGAATATCGTTGCAAGAACGCGAAACGAACATGGGTCATCCGATGATAGAAACTTATATATAGCCGGCCTGGCTCAAGATTTCCACATTCTCGGGCCTGTACCTTTACTGCATGCTGCACTGCGTGTTGGTGGCGTGCCGAGGAATACTGAACAAGACTGGTCATCACAGGTCATCTATTGCTGTCATCACGGCAGCGTTGTCAAGATGCCATAAGAATGGTGTAGTTGTTGAAGGAACATAATTATAGTTGCTCAACGTGCCGTGGAACACACGCTTCCTGCCAAATTTGACGCTGACTGATTCACGACTGCCATCTGGAGCACAAGAGGAGCACGTCACACGTACGCAGAAGCAATTAACATCACCTACTAATACCGACGAAGTCGCTACTCTAAATTCGTAATGGGATGGTTACACACAGAAATCAACGTGCAGGCCGAGTTTTGGCTTATTTTGCGGAACTAGTACATATCCTCCTTGACCAAGCTAAGTGGTTATGTACCGTTGTCTGGTGATCACCTGTTCGTGTGCATCTCTGAGTCACAGCTAATATATTGTTCCATTCTATCAACGGTGTGAAATACATAGCTAGTCTTACGCTTATCCACTATGGGTTGTTCGCAATCCCATGTGGTTGAACCGGAGAAATGTTAGTAATCCATAGACATCACCCACTGTTACTATGGGTATCATCAGCCTGTGATACTAGTTTCAATTAGTGGAGAGAGTGACATCAGAGTGTTCTACATGATTCTAGTCACTGAAAAGGACCACTAGTATTGTATGTCTTGTTCCCGGTTTGAAAATGGAGAGATGACGTTCGCGCCTTGAAAAAGGAGTAGAGAGCGACAAAGGTATGTCTGTAGCTGATTTTTGAGTGCTCCTCGTACGTTTTGATGGTAATAGAAAATCTCAGACCAAAGTCAGCGCAGCGGTGGGCGTACAGTTTTCTTGTGGATTTTTTAGTTGTTTCGTCTCGTACCTATGTCAGTATCGTGATAGTGAAGTGGAGAGGATAATTCTCTTCCTCTAGGCTTCGTTCGGCCGACTTTGCTTCGTCCCCGTTGAAAAGTGATGCTAAAAAAGGTTGATTCGCAAAAAATATTTATGTTCATTTTCAATGTACGGGATGACATGCGATTGCTGGCTATGGGATTCAAATTTTCTGGACTTGACATGCATATTTTTGTCAAATTTGAGATGCTCTTGAAACATGTGATCCATCAAACTGTGAAGAACTGAACGAAAGCCAAACAGCATAGAGTTGCGCGAGGTGAACCTAGTGTTAGGGGTCTTCCACTATTGTGCTGTACTTGCAGATGTCTCTATGAAGGTGGCTCGGCTCGGAAGGCATCTCCAAGCAATGCATTTTGGAAGGGGGGGGGGCAGTATTGTCTCTGGCAGTGTGCGTGTGTGTATGTGGGGAGGGGGGGGGGGTATTCCTCAGCTTGCACGCTATCATCGCATTAGCGATGGGCGTCCAAGGTGTGTGGGGGGGGGGGGGCTCGGAAAGGTGCGTTTCGGTAGACATCAGTGAGGCACGATGCATTTACAGGTAACCCTTCTGACTTGATCCTTCTGATTATTGAGTTTTGGAACTCATCTAGAGTCACTGGCTGGAGCGTCAGAGTTGTATTCTTTTTACAGCTTTCTATCATAGTTTGCCTAATGATATGGATTGCACTGATCTGTGTGTCTGTGCGATGAATGTGCCTGTTTCGGTGTGTGTCTGAATACTTCATGCAGCGGACATCATATCCACTCTTGAATTCAACGAAACTGGCAGTTTGCTAGCTACGGGAGACAAGGGTGGGCGTGTTGTCATATTTCAACGAGACTATGAGGTGAGTGGCGCATTCCTGCTAAGATCATGCTGCTGCTCTGCCTGGCTATCCAAGCTGCGCTACTGTACAGCAGCATCATCTACAGTCAACTTCGCTAATAACGACTGCGGATATAACGACAATTCGCGAATAACGACAGAATTTCCATGCCCAGAGCAAAGTCCCATCTAACTGTAATACATATCATGAGGCTTCGGGTATAAGGACACTTTTCTGATGCCTCGCCGCCGAGTGTCGTTATACGCAAAGTTGACTGTACATTACTGGTACTAGACAATGCATGTAGCGTTACTTGTCCTCTGTAATAGTGTACGGTGACGACCGACTACCGGGGCGTCATTGTGTGCACAGGTATTTGTACAGTGCTGGATCATGATTGATCCCGGAGTGGTGTCGCTGCTTCTTCCACTCTGCTGTGCACTGTACTAGATTTTAGTTGATTATCATACAGTCAAATCTGTCGTAAGCGACCGCCCCTTGGTGCAAGAAAAAGCGGTCGCTTACGGCAGATGTATGGTAAATCCGGCATACCAGGTATATGCTTCTATGTACTCAAAACGACGAGGATAATGTGATTTTTAATATCATTTTATTGGATATTCAACGACGACCATACCCGTATAGTACGCGTATGCGACACGGCAGTAGATCGACACTGCCTGGACTTGAGAGCTACAGCACAGCCTCAGTACAGGCCAGACACCAGTCGATCGCACTTGCAAGACAGCGCATTTTCACACTTTGCAGTTGACAGCGCACTGGCAAGTACAGTTTCGCACCTTACTGAACCTGGGTCGCGGTCGCTTACAGCAGATTTGAATGCAGCCACCGTGCATGAAATCGCGGTCGCTGGTCGCGCACAGCAGATGGTCGCTCTGAACAGATCAGTTTGTATGTGAAACCGTCGGTGCACGGAAAATCGGTCGCTAACGGTAGATGGTCGCCTACAGCAGAGGTCGCTAACGGCAGATTTGACTGTAATATTGTGCTCCGTCCAGCTAATCTTCAAAACTCTCTTATTCTCCTGCAGCATCTTCATTCCTTGTACATTAGTCGCTAGGGATTCTAAAAAGGCTACTCCCTGGGAAGACTGTCAACATTGCTAATCATGTGGGCATGTTTTCCGTTTGCTTGTGTTTGCTTGTGTGCTTTGCAGTCTGGGGGAGATGCTGATTTTAGTGTTTATAGTGCCTTTCAAAGTCATGAGTCCGAATTTGACTATTTAAAAAGCCAGGAGATCGAGGAAAAGATCAATAAGATCAAATGGCTGAAACAGTGTAATGCATCCAACTTTCTGCTAGCAACAAATGGTAAGCGGCATGTGCTCTTCTCCGTGTTTTACTCTGTGTGCGTGTGTGTGCGTGCGTGCGTGCGTGTGTGTGGTGTGTGTGTGGTGTCTGTTTGTGTGTGTGGTGTCTGTTTGTGTCTGCGTCTGTGTTTGCGTCTGTGTGTTTGTGTGTGTATGTGCGTCTGTGTCTGTGTGTCCCATAAGGTGCAGTGGTATGTGCAGTGATTTCCAATCGAGAGGTTGTGGGTTCTATTCCCGACGATTATGGTCATACACATGGTTACCAACAGCCAGTGCATGCCGGAGTATGTGGTGTGATGTGTGTGCAGGAAAAAAGAAGAAGACCAAAAAGTAGAGATTCACTGGCCAGAAAAAGCAACTTCATAGCTGTGTGGTGTAGACCAGGTTGAATAGTGGCGGTCAATTCTTCAGCCTTGCCAGCTGTTGAATGGTGCAATCTCGGCACAAGTTGCTACGGCTTCTGCTGTAGCATCGCTATCATCGCCTCTGATGATGGGCGTCAAATCATCAGATGGTGTCTGTGTGTGTATGTGTATGTGCTTGGATCTCTCAGTCTCTTCTGTCTCTCTCTTTCTCTCTCTCTCTCCGAGGCTCACTCGCTCTCTTTCTTTCTTTCTCTGCCATTCATATTAGGCTGCATGGCCACGTGTACTGCATGGTTAGATGGTGCCAGGTAGCTACTGAAACGCCTAGCTCTCTACCAGTACTCACCCAGTGGTGGAGAGCGCTATCCTAGCCTATGTCACTGGGGGAAAAGAGCAATCGCTCTAGCTGTACAACACCTACTGATTTGCTTGTTGTGTTTGTTCGCCTGCAGACAAAACTATCAAATTGTGGAAAATCCTTGAGAGATCTCAGCAGCCTGTAGATTTCAACAATGTTGCGGAGGATCCAAGTCGTCGAATTACGTCACTGCGTGTTCCGAAGTATCAGACTGCACCACTGACCGTGGAAGCCATCGAACGTCGAACATACGCCAACGCACATGCATATCACATCAATTCCGTTTCGCTCAACACCGATGTCGCCACGTTCCTTTCGGCCGACGACCTCCGGATCAACTTGTGGAATGTCGAAAATAACAAGGAGTGCTTCAGTATCCTTTTCCTGTTGCATGTCACAGTGTTGTATTTGTACAATGTCAAGTTGTTACGATTGTTCATGCTATAGCTGCGTTTAACCAGGAGTAGTGGACAGTAGTTTTTAATGCGGGAGTCTTTTGTTTTGCTGTGGCTGCTGCACCAGCTCAGTAAAGTCTGCCGCTGAAGCGCTTCTTGCGCTTTGCAAGTCACTGGTGATTAGAAGCCGCATGGTTTTGGGTTTGGTACTGTCTCGTAGGGTAGACATACGCATTATCTGTCTCCTCTTCTGCAAAAGAAATTGACCGTTTGGCCTTTCAACCTACTACTGCATGCCCATATCCCTGATGTTGACGCCCCCATGCTACCGCTACTATTTCTATAGCAGCTATGCGAATGACGCCATCGGGTACATGTATACTTTGTGTGGAGTGGCAGAGCAGAGCGCGCCGCTCCATATCTAGCGCCCCAAAATAGTAACAAAATGTCATAATAAGCTCTTTTGTAATGTGTACGTTGTGTGTACAAGTTGTGAACGGAATAGGTATCCAGTTACGTGCTCCTTGACCAGTGGGCGATGTGCAGATATTGTCGACATTAAACCACAGAACATGGAGGAGCTGACCGAGGTGATTACATCCTGCGAGTTCCACCCGCTGAAGAGTCACGAACTGGTCTACAGCGTCAGCAAGGGCAGCATTCGCATGTGCGACATGCGCAGCCAAGCGCTCTGCGATAGCCATGCTAAGCGTAAGTTGCGTAGCGCGGGTTCGCTGTGATTTGTGCTGCCATCGGGCCTGGCGAATAATGCTTTATCAGTTTATAGTGAAATTGCAATTGACAATGCTGACCCTCGGTTATTTTGTTTTCTGTTCGACCCTCTTTGAAGTTGTGCATTGTACTGTTGAGGCAACGAACTGAAATAGATCAAAAACAAACAAAACGAACTACAGTCAACTTCGCTAATAACGACTGCGGATATAACGACAATTCGCGAATAACGACCGAATTTCCATGCCCGGAGCAAAGTCCCATCTAACTGTATACATTTAACTTCGGATATAACGACTATCTGAATAACGACAATTCGCGTATAGCGACATGCTTTTAGTGCCCCGTGGTCATATTCACTGCTTGAATAACGACTTTCTGGGCTTTTGACAGCTATTTCAAGTACCTGTCAGTCAAGTACATGTACCTGTCATGCAGAAGTACCAGAACCTATGGTGCACCAGTACCGGTGATGGAAATTATTGCACACATGAGGCATAGTGGTGGCCTGGGGAAGCGAAGGCTAGTTTGTGTGTTTCTGAACATTCAAGCGATGCCAACGCGAATCCCGCGAATTATTATTATTATTATGCAAGAAAATGCAGCCAAGGGGGTGGGGGCTTTTTCTTCCTTTTTAATGTTGGCTTCAAAATTGTTGGATTTACCAGCACACCTATATGTATACAATGTACATGTAGTTGTACATGATTGTACAGTAATCATCATACATGTACATGTCTCTGGCCCTGTAGATTGCTCAAAAAGGCATATTTTTCAATTGATTTCCCTTGCATATTGAATTTTTAGTTCCTTTCAACTGCAATATGAAAATAAAGTACACATTGACATAGAGCAAGAAAAGAGCTTGATTTTGATATGCATATCATACTATACAAAATATGGGTTCACATACATTCAAATGGGACTTCGGTTATAAGGACACTTCGCGAATAAGGACACTTTTCTGATGCCCCGCCGAATGTCGTTATTGGCGAAGTTGACTGTATACCGTTGCTTCACGAAGAACAATGTTCACCAAGAAAACTCCATTGGCTTTGCTACTCCGAATTTTATCAACTGGTGGGTGCAGTCATCAGGCCTGGTGTAGCAAACCCAATGGAGTTTTCTTGATGACCATTGCTCCTTGTGAGGTGATAGTGCTCTGTCGCGAGATATTGAGCTCTCTTCTGTAGTGGTTGCACCCAAGCTTCGAAGAAATCACTTAATTATGCTGTACAATCCACCTCCTGCTCTCTTCCTGCAGTTTATGAAGTTCCCGAGGATCCGGCAAACAAGTCATTCTTCTCAGAGATAGTGTCATCAATCTCGGATGTGAAGTACAGTCATGACGGTCGGTATATTATGGCGAGAGATTACATGACCGTCAAGCTGTGGGATGTCAACATGGAGTCCAAGCCGGTGCAGACATTTGAAGTACACGACTACCTGCAAGGACAGTTGTGCTCTCTGTACGAGAACGACTTCATCTTCGACAAGTTTGAATGCTGCTGGAGCTGTGATGACAAGTATCCTCACCACCTGGTTGCCGTGCAATATATGTGCGTTAAAGTGCTGTGCACATGAATATAATTATGTGTGTGTGTGCCTGTGTGCCACGGTGTGTGTCTATGTGTGTGTGTGTCTATGTGTGTGTGTGTCTGTGTGTGCGTGCGTGTGCGCATGTCCATGCCTGTGTCTATGTGAGTGTATATGTGTATATGTGTGTATGGTGTGAGCGATGTGAAGGGTGAAAGACAATGTGGGGGCAGATGCATGAGGATGTGTGCAGAGGTATGTATGTATGTGTAATGATTATTGTAATAATGTTGATGCAGGTCTTGCTAAATTTTAGAATTACGACAAGAATAACGCTCCCTCGACAAGGGACATTGATCGCTATTTGCTGAAGACATTTTTTCTAGATAAAAGTAAGGACAAAAATGTTACAAGTTATGACTAACTGTCCACCATTGTAACCAGATATGCACTTGTTTCTGTTCTGTGAGTTTCCTTGACTGCTGATCCCCCCGCCACCTAGCCACCTGCTGACCGGAACATACAATAACTTTTTCCGAGTGTTCAACCGGCAAACAGGCGAGCACCAGTGTCTGGAAGCAAGCAGAGAAATCGCCCGGCCAGACTTTCCGCTCAAACACCGCAAGGTCATCGCCGGAAGCACCAACACGAAACGCAAGAAGGACGAGTTCAACCTGGAGTCCATGGACTACAGCAAGAAGGTGTTGCACGCAACGTGGCATCCACGCGAAGACATCCTGGCCATTGCCGCCACCAACAACCTCTACATCTTCCGCTCCAAGAACCAGAAAATCGCGCGTTAGTGGTTAGTACCCGATGTTTGCTGACCTGTTGATAGCATCGACAGCGATAGTGCATCCTTTTCTTACTCTCAGTGCGGTGAAGTGCTTGGGATGACGAGGGACCTTTGTCATGGCACTTGCCTCTTCGTGAGCTGCACTTGCTTTCTTGCATGTCCCTCGACAGCCAGTCTCTGCAACGTTGGCCACCGGATGGCAGTTGGAGGTGTATAATTTTAGTAGCACGCCTGGTGCTTGTTTTTCATGAAGATATGACTTTGTTGTTTCTGGAATATGCCTTACTTGCTATTGTTTCTGAGTTTCATCTTGTCATTTTATCAATTGTCATCTGGCTTTTCCTACGCTTCCTTTCCGGCCAAAGCGCATTTTGATCTAGATTAAGTAAGGGAACACAGGCTTTCATTGTACATAATAAACATATTTCCCATTGTCAAAGACTTGTTCTGTTGCTATTCTTTGCTTGCTGCGCTGGCATGGCAATTGTTTCACTTTCGCGCTCCGTGGATTCTTCTCAGATCAGTCTACTATGTGGTGGAGTATTAGAGGCAGCAGCAGCAATTCCCCTGAAGTTATAATATTCATAACTGCTTTGTTCTGCTCTTGAATGGCTATGAGCTGTTTGTTTATACGTTCATGACCTGAGAAGGTGCACAGGCATGGACGACAGACAAGTAATCAGAAGGATCAGAGAACTAACTCAGTGTCATTGTGCATTGCCAATGATTGCTATGTATATTGTGCAGCTTCAGCCTTCTGGGCTCCCTGGCCTGGGCTGCGGGCTGCCTATGGTCAAACCAGGAGTGCAGGCTGTGTAGGACGACGTGGAGGCAAGCTTGGCTTAGATGTTTGGATTCTCCTACTTATTTCAGGGCAACTACAAACTACAATGACTATGTAGATGACTGCACTTCAATGGGTCCTACAAGTACTGCCTGTAGACTCCAGTCTACCTCTTGGTGTAGTGCAGACTGACTCACTGACTCTGACTGAGTGATGATAGAGACTATCACTGTACAGTACAGTACATGTAATGACTGTTTTCATGACATTGGTATCAACTATTATGGCCACCGTCCATAACCTGATAACGTTAGACGGTGAATGACTGTGATGTCTGCCCTAGGCTATACACTGTACTTGGATCATGTAGGGAGATAGACAACTGTCTCCCTGCCCTGAACATACTCTTGAGTCTCAGCCCTGCTGTTGCAGATGCATCGATGGTGTATCGTGTATGTATGACTGTGTTGTATGTTATGCACTCAGGGTGACTCTTGATAAATGGAGTATGATATTCGGAGCACAAGATATTTGTAGTGTAGAACCTACCATGTGTACCGGTACACGCTTCGCCTGCTATTTGCTGCCGGTACAATCATAAGGTCGTAAACTCTGGATCCTATCATCATAATCACCATGGCTAGCTGGTCTCCTCTCAAGTATCTGGCTTCGCCAACTACATGTACATGTAGATTTACATGATCGCACTACTGAAAGTCGCAATAAGTACAAAGACGTTTGTAGCAATAGTCATCGCCGTCCGGACGGGCACATACGACACATGATTGTATTCACTATTGTTGCAGATCTAGTTCTTTACTAGTACTCCTCTTCTCAAGTCGATTCACTGAAAAGCTGATGTGTTTCTTTTTGAGACAACCAAATTCATTGACTTGTACATTGTACATTGTACACGGAAAGCTGCGCCACTAGGAATGATTGGATGAGTGACATGGCGTGAAGCCTCACTGAAGCGAAGAAGGTGGAAAACGACCGACCGCAGACGACTGTCCGGCCTTGGCAGCTGCATGCGCATGCCGCGTGTAGTGTGGGCGGATGTGTTGCGAAAGAGGTCTGGGGAAAGTCATGTTTCAAGTGCTCCCAGCATACGCTGCGTAGCGACATCGTGTGCCCATATCACCGCTGTCAGTGTGACAGTGTAGACCTGCCCGTCTAGCCAGTGCTGCTTCGTGTGATCCGAAGAGAGAAGAAGCGCCTCGGACAGAAATCGGCACCCACAGAGTACAAGACGCGCCTGACGTCGACCCAACACTAGTAGTCCGTGAGCCAAATCTCAGAATCGGCTGTTTTAGCATCGACCGTTGCACCCAGAGAGGGACAAATCGTCCTTCGGCACACCGCTTCACGATGGTATCCTGAAGCGATTTCCACTTGTTGGACAGTTCGAAACTGATCCAGGGAGGTCACAGAAGACGCCAAACATCCAACTTTGCTCACTGACAGCAGCGGCCATTTTCGCCTTCTTCGCTTGATATTTTTGCGCTTGTTCACGGATTCTCATTTTTTGAAGCCATGAGCAGATACCACGAGTGCACATAACGCGGAAACCAGTGCACAAAACTAGATTCGAATTTTTTTGCCGCTGAGAATTATGAATCGGGATGCAAACTGCATGCAGCAAAGTCACTACTGTTTGTAGTTACAATGCAATCGTTCAGAACTGACTTCCAAGAATGTCCTAAATATCTCTCGACATATTTGTTCACGACTTCCTAGGCCAATCGGCGTAGACTGTAGTGAGTAACCTTCTGGAGCAAATGACGACTGCCCCGAGCATGAACTTCTTTTCATCCTGTTCAAGGTCAAATATTACTCAGTTTGCGTTGAAGAATAACAATTACATTCGTGAATGGCCGAACTGAGAAAACCCTCATGATTTCTCTTGGATTTCGTATCCCAAGTTCCTCTACTTGGCTGGATAAATCGCCTCTTTACTTCATCATACTGGACTGGAACTTGTAGATAATAGCGAGCAATGAATTGGTGAGTGAAGTATATTTCAAAAGTAATAACCACTCGATTACTGAATAGTAGTGAATACGTAGAATACTCCAGTATTATTATTATATGAACACTGAAGCTAATGTGACATTACAGTAGTACAATAGGAAGTACGTCACCACACTGTTGTAAATGCACGCGCTGATCCTATCCAACCTGACGGCCAATGCAAGAGGTTGGAATTGGCTATTGATTTCCTAACACACTCATACAGCACCAAAAGCTATCTGTCATTGCTCATTTTCAACTCAACATAACACAGTTGCAAATCACCAGGTGCACATCTTGGCACATAATGTGTGCTGTCGCAGTCCACCGCAGAACATAGTAATCCACAGATAACTACCGATATAACATGATGTCACATACATACATGCATGCATGCCGCGGCGCACCCACACGCGTGCGCACACACACACACACACACACACACACACACACACACACACACACACTTGAAGCAGCTGAATAATCCGACTATGCAGTCTCCCAGGCACGCGCACACACACGAACCAGCTGCCGAATCCAACTATACAGTCTCCCAGGCATGCACGCTCGCACACACACACACACATGAACCAGCTGCCGAATCCACACAAACACGCGCGCGCGCGCGTGCGCACACACACACACACATGAACCAGCTGCCGAATCCGACTATGCAGTCTCCCAGGCACGTGCGCACAAACACGCTTATGCGCACACGTGTGTGCCCGCACACACACATGAACCAGCTGCCGAATGCGACTATGCAGTCTCCCAGGCACGCGCGTGCGTACGCACACACACACATGAACCAGCTGCCGAATCCGACTATGTCAGTCTGCCATGACTGCGAAACCAGCGAAGACATACAGTGCATTGGCTGCTGCCAGACTGGTCTGCTACAGGTTTGCGACGCTCTTGAGTACACTTGTGGCATGGCAGGCCGCTCTTCGAAAAGGAAATGTTACAAATACTACACTGAATCCGATCACGGGAGGCCGGCTGTGGTGGTGAAGCAATTCTGAATGCTGTGCGCCACTCTCCTCGCTGCTGTGCAGTGTCGAACCAATATCCTTCAAGATGTAAGTGATGGATGTCCCTTCGGACAACATCACACCAATGCTGTCGGGTTTCACACACACACACACACACACACACACGGCGCACACCTTGTCGACAATTGCGGAATCTAAAACCCACCAACGACCTGAAACACGGATCGCACTGGCCGCAGTGGCTGTGGCAACACCGTGCCCCAACACCAGTAGTAGCCTGGGGTGGTGTCACCAACAAAGGAAAACGCCTAGCACGCACATGCACGTGCGCGCGCGCACACATGCACGCTCGCACACACATGCACACTCGCACACACATATGCACGCGCGCGCACACACACATGCACGCGCATGCACACGCACACACACATGCACGCACCCACACACACAAACACGCGCACACATGCACGCGCGCGCGCACACACACATACACAGCTAATGGTATACAGTAGTATGTTGCCCGCAAAGCAGCCAGGTGCTCTGGCTTGGACCTCCAGCAGCGCTGGTTTCGCCCTCGCTACTTGTCGTCTTGCCCTCTCCAGTGCTGCCTGCAACAAAACATTCCCTTCCGGAAACTCTGGGTGGACCAGTTCTCCGTGTTGTGTTTACACCGTGCTCTGCTTTCACCGGTATGGCATTCGTTGTTCGTATCAACCACTAAGCTCCTGGTAGGTAGCCCCTTACTGGCCTTAGGATGTGGCTCTGGGTTCACTACTACATGCACATCACTGTCAGCAAGTATAGACAAAGCAAAATCAGAGGCACTGGTCTTCTCCAGGTTTGCAATTGCTATCACATGGGTGCAATTGGTGTAGCACTTTTCATGATACCAGCCACACCATTTACTCCTCCCTGAGCTCTTGTGCTGGCAGAGAAAAGCCCAGATATGGTCGTCCTTCTCTCGAGCAGCGCTGACGATGCGACACCAACTTGTAGTCTCGATATTACTCACTGCAGGCTTCTCGTTTTTACTAAATTGGGCGCTGTGACACAGACACAAAATTCCAGCAATATTACTCCGCTGGGCTGTCATTTGCCACTTCGTTGCCGTCAGCTGCCTCATCCAGCACCTCGCTGCCACTAGAAACGTCTTCCTCTTCTTCCATTGTTGTCAAAACAACATCAATGTACACGAAAGGAATAAACTTCAATAAAGTGATCACAATATCCCATGGGCCCAAGTCGATATTGTCGTCAACGTCGTCATCTTCTAAAAATATATTATTTTTCCTCACTCTACGCGAACTCGTGTTTTGCGCTTGCTCATACGACGCACACCTCACCACTCGCGTAAAAATATTCGTTCTCACGGTGGAATTTGGTCGAGAAAAGAAGCCCTCGCGAAGGTCTCTGGATCGGTTCTGGAACGTCCAACAAGCGAAAACGTATCCTTTGTGATGTCCTTGACCAACACTGTAAGCGGCGATTTGTCCATCCGAGAGTGCAACGGCACTTGTGATTTTGAGTTTTGGCTCACGGACTATAGCGAGGTTCTGTTGTCAAGCTCAAAGACTAAGTACATGATTGTATACATTTGCTACATGGTACTCTGTGGTATGATGGCTCTCTGGTGGAGACTGTAAATTCAAAGAAACCGCATACTACTCTGCAGTTTTGTCCGGGCCTCCACACCCTGCAACCAACGTCGCGTGGATGCTGGTGGACTCTCCTTGGATACTGTATCTTGATAGTACATGTAGTTGATACTATGAAGGGGTCGGATTTCCATGTTCCCAACTGCACATTGTAGTACAGTAGTGCATGCACATGCACAATGCACATTCTTTGTTACAAAAGTTTGTATCCGGACCGTGGTGCTTGTTCTCGTCATGGCCCTAGGTTCCCAGTCCAACG